GACGGTGCTGTGTCGCTGAGAGACGTCGACCCCCTCCAAAAATTGAGATAGTGGGGAAGCGAAGGTGTGGGTGCGGTCCGAGAAGAGATCGTAGGTTTTGAATACCAAGTGTTACGAGTGCAATTGAGTGATCAGCGAGAATTGCACTATCGAAGCAAGAGTACAATGTGCGAAGGCATGAGCGAAGGCATGAGCGAAGAATATATTGCGAAACTACAGTGGTAATGGTAATGCGTGAACATGGGGTGCGCGACGGGCCTGGCGCCGAGGTTGGGAAATGCCGAGGCGGAGGTCCGGAGCGCGACCAACCGAACCGTGAGGTTGGGTCGCATCGTGAGCAGCGGCGGAACAGTGTCGAGGCGAATGTCGCGAGTGGTAACGGTTTATTGTTGGGTGCTGTTGGCGGGAAAAGTGGTGTACGCGCTGAGCAGGGACGCGAAGTAAGGAAAAGGAATTTTACTTACAATTGCACTTCATCGGACAGTCGGTGTCAAGCTTCCCTCAACCCACAGCCGCATCGACAAATCTCAGCCGTCCGCGTCACGTCAGTCGCGCAGCGTCAGCGGACAGATTTTGCAGTTCCGCGGATGACCCCTCCAGCTCATCGGTAACTGCTTCTCCCAAGCGTTTTTTGGTCGCTATCACTTGTCTCGTCTAATGGCGAAAGCGTGGTTACCTTCATAGCACCATTTCGCTAGAGTCTGTTCTGAAGCCCTTCAACTCCCATTTTCAGCACTGTCGCTCACTCTCTTTCCACCTGCTGCTCCAACCGTCACAAGAGACACAGCTCAATTTTGGAGCATTTCCCAGCAAGCTACGTCGTCGATTCGAAATTCTTGACGAAACTGCGCGCACGTTGTTGATCTCCCATGGCTGCTCTCTCGTCATCCTTCCTTTCGACTCCTCTCGCCGGTCGACCCCCTGCTCTCTCCCTCCGTCATTCGTCCGATCGCGCCTTCACGCCGCCTTCCGCCACTCCCCCCATCCGCGCTGCTGCTCCCCCAGAACGCACCGCCACCAGCGCCACCAGTAGCAGCGCCTTCGAGGCTCCGCTGTCGGCGGTATCTTCCCCGCAGCAGCGCCCGCGGGGGGTCTCCGCGCCGGATGCCTCTCCGCGCAAGCCCGCGTGGCTGCGCCAGCGCGCTCCGCAGGGCAAGCGGTACGAGCAGGTGCAGGAGTCGCTGCAAGGACTGCGACTGAATACCGTGTGCGAAGAGGCCAAGTGCCCTAACATCGGGGAGGTGAGACTGCGACCAGCTCTTGAATTCCTGACTGCTTCCCTCCTCCCCCACTTTCTTACATAAACCCGCGCGCGCACCCCGTCCCTCGGCACCGCACATTGAAACCCCCGAATCCCCTACTAGCACACACATACTCGCACTTACAGATACGCTCACAGGCATACTTACCCCCCTAAACCCCCGTGCGTGCGCCTGTTTTCATTCCCGCGGGTCCGTGCGCGCAGTGTTGGAACGGCGGGCATGGCGACGGCGGCTTGGGCACGGCGACGATCATGCTGCTGGGCGACACCTGCACCAGGGGCTGCCGGTACGCTCGCGCGCCCGCCCGCTCTCCCGCCCGCTTGCTTGCGCGCATGCGCGCGTCCTTGAGGCGTGCGAGCGCGAGGATAGTCTTTCCAGATAATCTTGCGTACTTACGCTCGCTCTTCTTACCCGTATTGGCCTCCTCTCCTTCCGTCTCCGTCACCGCTTTCCGCCTCCTTTCGCAATCCACTCTCCCTGCTCTTTCCTCCCTTCCCTCTCCCTCCACTCCCCTCCCCTCCCCCCCCTCTTCTCCCCCTTTCCCCCCCCCTCCGCGCGCAGCTTCTGCGCCGTGGCGACGAGTCCCACCCCGGCGCCGCCCGATGAGAACGAGCCCGAGAACACGGCCAGGGCAATCGCGTCGTGGGGGTGAGAAGGGGGTGGACCGGGGCGGGCTGGGGGGTTGGGGAACCCAACTTGGGGTGGCCTGAGCGGGTGGGCGGGGGGTATTGCGGTGGTGGATCTGGGCTTTCAGCATCCGTTGCTGTGTAAGGCGCACTAGCTGATCTTGCTTATTTTTCCTATGCTGTTCCTCGATACGCTTACTGTCTGTCTCACTCGCTCTTCCCCATGTCCGGCCATCATGCCTGCCCTCCCACCTCCTCTCAGCTTCTCCAATCCTTCCCTCTTCCTCATTCCACTGTCTCCTCCTTTCGACCCGCTCTCATGTCTCCTGTGCCTTTCCTCCCGCCGCCCCTCGCTTCGCGCTGCCTATGTGTGCATGCATGGCAGGGTGGGGTACATAGTGCTGACGAGTGTGGACCGGGACGACCTGCCTGATGGTGGTGCAAACCACTTTGTGCGCACTGTCAAGGAGCTCAAGGTAGCTAGCTACTGCCCGCATGCTGTCCCCTCCCCTCCCCATGCACCCCCAGTCATCAGTTCCTAGGCAACACTCGTTACCGCACACACATTCACATCACCCAATTCCTCTCGCTGCCCCCCCATTTGAGGCCCAAACTCTTCTTCCGCTCCTCTCACCAGCCCTCCTGATCTGCTATCATTGTCCTCTGTTTCCCTGCCTCCCATTTCCCTCCCTCTTTCCCTTCCCCCCTCCGTCCCTCTTTCCCTCCCCCCCCCCCCCCCTCTGCTTCCTTCCATTCCTCCCCGTACATCCATCTCTCCTGCTCTCCCTACCGCCATGAGTACTGCAGGCACTGCGTCCGGACATCCTGGTGGAGTGTCTTGTGTCAGATTTCCGAGGGGACAAGGCGGCAGTGGCGGCGCTTGCCACATCGGGCCTAGATGTCTTTGCGCACAACGTGGAGACTGTCAAGAGACTGCAGCGCTCCGTTAGAGACCCACGCGCCGGGTAACAACTCATTGGCTTTTTTCCTTATCTTCCTCTTTGTCTCTGTTTTTTTCTTTCACTGCTCCCTGCACTCTCCCACCGCCGCTGCTCTGTCACTTACTCGGTTTCCCCGCTGCCTACTCCTCTCCCTTGGTCTCCTCTCATGCAGTTATGATCAGTCGTTGACTGTGCTACAGCATGCAAGGGAGGTGGCCCCCGGTGTGGTAACCAAGTCGTCCATAATGCTGGGGCTGGGAGAGACAGACGAGGAGGTGGCGCAGACAATGAGGGATCTGAGGGACGCGGGGGTGGAGATTGTGACTCTCGGGCAGTACCTGCAGCCCACGCCGATTCACCTGCCCGTGAAGGAGTTTGTCACGCCGGCCAAGTTTGATGAGTGGAGGCAGTACGGGGAGTCCATTGGCTTCCGATATGTTGCCAGCGGGCCTCTGGTTAGTCAAGCTTGCATGCACTTGCGATTTCATGCATCGCCGTTTGCATATCTCGTGCTTTCACCCTTTTCCACCATTGATGGCACTTCTCCCCCCTTGCTCCTGTGGTGTCTTGGTTAGCCACTCACCCAGTTTTCCTTGACTGCCGCTACTTTGTTTTGGTTTCTAAGTCCAGGTCCGCTCTTCGTACCGAGCTGGGGAGTTTTTTGTGGAGTCAATGCTTCGAAAGAGGCAGCAGGAGGCTTCAGCTAGGCAATAACAAGTTTGTATTCACGAATTGAAGGTTTTTATTGTGGAACTCTTGTGAAGTATTCACGAATTTCCATATATGTGGTGTTGCTGCACTCGTCAAACCTTTTTACACCAACGCAACCGCATAATATATTCAGGCAATTTCTGGAACATCTTACTGACCGCCACTTGTCATCGTCCGTCGCACATAGAGGCGCCTCCAGAATCACAGGAGCGCGCGCCTACCACAGAATCCACCGCATTCTCCCCCACACCTGGCCCCTTTCCTGTGTTGCGCTGCGCATGCCCTCCTCCCAGCCATCAGCTTTCCCCCAACTTTCCGCCGGTGCTCCGCATCGTCGAAGATCTGTCCGTCTGTCGTCGTCCAATTTCCCGTCAGCCCCGCCCTTGCTTGCGACCAACTCAATGCCGCCGCCAGGCCGGCTCCGTCGTCCCTTCCTCCCACGGCGACCCCCCTCTTCCGTTCCGTCCTCTCCCCGCGCGTGCGTGAGTGGTTTGATGTGTGTGATGTGATGTGAACGGTTTGAACCGAACTGCACGGAATTGAAGCCATACCCTTGTGGTTGCTTTCTGCTTCGGTGTGGATCTGTCACATCTCAAAAGTCGGTCTTCAGAAGTAGAGGCTGCCGCTTACAGATCAGAAGTCGTAAAAACAGGAGTGTAAATATTCGAAGGCAACGGTTAGCGATGCTGGCAACTATTCCTGAAGCCGCACTCTCTTCTTCCAGTCTAGTCTTCTCCTCATCCATCGCTAGTTCCGCCTCCCACGCATCACTCCATCCCGTCCTGGTTCCGCGCTCTGCGCTCCGTAATTCCGTTTCTTATCCTTCCACTTGCTCTTCCCATCTCGCCACCTCCCATCGGCCACCGCTCGATTGTGCAACGAGCACCTCCATTTCCCCGTTTCGTCGCGCCCATTTCGTATTCGCATCTCAGCCGCACGATCAGCCATCTCCTTCTGTCCGGCAATCGGCGCCGTCGATCCGCTCTTTTATATCTGACGGCCGTTTGTCCATGCACCCACGAGTCGGACAAGTCTCGTCGCTGCACCTTCCCGCTGAACCCATCGAGCCAAAAGGAGTAGATCAGGAAAGGGTAGGGGTAGGATCTGGACCAGTATCGGATTTGGAAGTTAGTAATCAAGAATCTTCAGTCCCGCCGTGCTCTTGTTCTGGACGTATGGCTCCTCTCTCCGCATCCCTCTCGGCGGACTGCCCAACCCCGTCTGCGTCTGGACCTTCTCCCGCTGACGGCGCTGCGTCAGAATCCGTTTCGGACATGAATGGCGACCTTCTGATCCACAGCGGGTCGTCTTTACCCAAAGTCGCTCCCACGTTTTCCGCAATGCCGAATCTCCCCCCGCGTCGATCCGCTGCTTCCCGCAGGCACTCCGCCGTCTCAATGAAACCGCCGTCAACCTCTATGGACGCCGCTCCCCTATCGGAATTGCCGAAGAGTGACTTCATGGCGCCGGGTGTAATAGACTACTCTCAGCTGCCGTCGGATCTGGATCCGAGCCGGCTGCCACGCCACGTGGCAATCATCCTGGATGGGAACTCACGGTGGGCGACGCGCAAGGGGATGCCTAAGATGATGGGGCACGATGCGGGGGTAAAGTCGAACAGGGAGATAGTGCGGCTGTGCGGGGAGTGGGGCATCCGCGCGCTCACTGTGTTCGCCTTCTCGACGGAGAATTGGGGTCGGCCCAAGGTACGCACGTGGCATAAAATCCGGTTTCCTGGTGTTACCGGTACAGGTATGGAAAGTGGAGAAGCCGTTTAGGCAGGACGGGTCGTGACGTGTGATGTGCGCACGTGCTGGATTGCAACTACAGCCGAGCTGACCATGGCCTCGAGGTATGATTTCCACAATTATCTCTACGTTCCGTCTCTGCTGTCGCGACGCCCGCGGTGATTCTTAGCCACTTCTCCTGTTAGAATCACTCGAAACACACAAACGGAATAACACTTTTTGGTTTCTTTTATGGTGTGGTTTTCGTACCCTTCCCCTCAACCTCCGTCTCTCCCTTACCCATCTCCACTTCCCTCGTCCTTTAGCACCAGCCGCTGTGCCCCGTTTTCGTTCCCGCCTTTCCTCCCTCTCGTCTCCCTCCTTTGCCCCACACGCACCTTCTCTGCAAAATCCTTCAATGATTCAGAAGAGAGAAACTCTGGTTACAATGAAAAAGGAACCTCAATGCAGGCCGTTGTGCTATGCTGCCCCGGCCTTTCTCACTCCCCACCTCCACCACGTTACTCGTTTGCCTGCCCTCTTGGTGCCTTGCGGATGTGGATATGTTGGGGAATGGACGGGGATGTATGCATGAGCAGGAGGAGGTTGACTTTCTCATGGAGTTGCTGGGCACGTTCCTTGAAAGTGAGCTGGATGAACTGCACAGGTATGCCCACAACTATCCACAAGCCCACTGAACCCTTTCCCTCATCACCCGCGTCTCTATTTGTTTCTTCTCTTTCGTCTTCTTCCGTCTCCTTCCAGCACAGCCTGTCCTGCTTTTTATTTGATGTTCAGATTCAGTGTGCTTGGAAGAACCATCGGAACTACACATGCTCTATCACTAACATTGGACAGATGAAGCATCAGATAAGACTTTCTTGCCTACATCCACTGCTGCTCCATTTTGTCCCCTCAGGCAACGGGTGGTAGTGCGTGTGATTGGTGATACATCACGGCTCAGCCCTGAGCTGCAGGACAAGATAGAAAGTGCACACGTCCGCACACAGGATAATGATGGGTTGCGCTACAGTATAGCAGTGAGCTACAGTGGCCGCCAAGATATAGTGCAGGCTTGCAGGAGAGTCGCAGAGCTAGTGTCGGCCGGTAAGCTTCAACCTGATCAGGTTTCAGAAGCTACTTTAGAACAAGAGCTTGCAACGAGTTGGCTCGGACCAGACCTGGCTAATCCTGACCTGCTGATTCGGACGAGTGGGGAGCTGCGGCTGAGCAACTTTCTGCTGTGGCAGTCGGCTTACACGGAGCTGCATTTCTGTGACACTCTCTGGCCCGACTTTGGCGCGTCCCATCTGCATGCGGCGCTCCTTGACTACCAGCAACGAGACCGACGCTTTGGTAGACGGAAAGAGTCTAGTTGAAAGCGTGGAAATAGCATATACGCTTGTTTGTGTGGATTGGAGTTTAGCCTTAGTGTGTCCAACTCGAGCTGGCTTGTTTTGCACTTGTATGTTCAGCTGAATTTTGTCTCTTGTCTAGCGGAAAGTAGTTAGTTTCAATCTCAATGTGAAAGGCTCCAACGCTGCAACGGAATGCCGAGTTTTATTAAGAAAACGCTTCTGTTGCTAGTGGCGGCAGTGGAGGCTCTTCCAACCAATCGTAGAGCTCCGTTCGGTAACCTTGCTGTATCAGGCACAGTGCGATGAAACCGTCCCTCCTCGCAAATCCTTGGAGGGAAATCCCGTCTAAGATGGCCTTCCTGGGCTGTCCCAACTTTGAACTTGGGACAGCGAAAAAGTGCACTTCGCACGGGCAAGAGATTGGGCAGGTGATGAGGTGGAGGGAGAACGAATCTGGACGTCGCAATTGTTCAGAGGTCCCCAACGTGCGAACACCCCACATGATCGGACGGTTGGGCCTGACCAACTAGAGCTGAGATGCGACCACAGATCGTAGATGGAGTCGTGCAGGAAGTTTTGATCGCACACTGGAGAGTGGGTGAGAACGTGAAAGCAACGTGAAAACAACGTGAAATCTGCCACGCTGGACCCAGATATTTGTACTTTTGGGGTCTGTCCTGTCCCAAGTTCGCAGGAAGGCGATCTAATCTGGGTTCGATCAAACCCACCCATCCCTTCCCTCCTCACTCTCCCCCATCCACACTCATAACAGTAGACTGCCAATGCTACTGTTGGGTGGGTTCAGCAGCACACAGCAGCGCGTTTCGATAAAGCCAACCCCCCCGGCGTGACCTTATCGACAGTGAAAAGTGGTGTGGAGGAAACGGGGAAAGTGAGGGACAGAGAGGAAGGCGATGACGTGCTGCTGCCAGCCCGCCAGGCAGAGAGGAAAGATGCCGTGCCGTTTCGCCCTTCCCTGGAGGTGCTCTTAACATTCCAACTTCCGACTAGCCTCTCCAGTCAGCTGGAAGCTTTCTTGATGAATGCCAGTTCGTCTGGATGAACGGCAGACAGCGGTGCTATAGTTTGCGAACATGACTCCTCTCTCTACATCCACGTCCGCCGTTCGCGGCCCGTCGGACTTCCCTCACTTGACTTCATCGGGCGTGTCGTCGACCGCTGACGGAGCCTTGTCAGAACCCGTTTTGGAGCTGAACGATGCGCTGCACTCTGTTTTTGCGAGCGGATTTGTCCGCAGCGCGCGGTCGTCAAAACCCGAAGCTCCTGAAGCGCTACTACCAGCAATGCCTTACCTTCCCCCGCGCGATTCCGCTGCTTCCGCCGGTGTACAACCACGCAATTCCGCTGCAAAGGCGTCTCCCGCCACTACCACCGACTGTTCCCCGTCGACACCCCCAACAAGCAAGAGCGCTTCTGGTCCAAACGAGATAGACTACTCTCAGCTGCCGTCGGATCTAGACCCGAGCCGGCTACCACGCCACGTGGCAATCATTCTGGATGGGAACTCGCGATGGGCGACGCGCAAGGGGATGCCTAGGATGATGGGGCATCTGGGGGGAGTGGATTCGCTAAGCGACGCCGTGCGACGATGCAGCGATTGGGGCATTCGCGCGCTCACCGTCTTCGCATTCTCCACCGAGAATTGGAACAGGCCCGAGGTAGTGCGATGCGGGGGTTGGCATACGCACTCGAGGTAGTCATTTTCTTAGGATGGTGTGTCGCGTCGCACACATGTGCACTCCTGGCGATTCGATGTCAGAGTCTTGACTCTATTTCTCAAGTGACTCGCCGCTTGCAATAACTGCAATTCTATGTCGAGGCCTGGTTTGGTAGTGGACGTCGGAGCTGGGTGCGTGTCCCTCAACCGCCTGGTCAGCTCATGTGTTCGCTTCATTCTTCCCACCTTCTGAAACATGATTCTTGGTCATTCCTGCTCCTACCATCCTCAGTTCCCGCCCCATCCTGTATCTTTTTCTTCTGACTTCTTGCGTATCCGTGGTGTCGGGGTGAGTGGGGAGGGGGGGTGCATGAGCAGGCGGAGGTGAATTTTCTGATGGCTATGATGAGCAGGGTGCTGGTTGAGAAGCTGGACGAGCTCCACAGGTATGTATGATATTTTTCTTTCCATTTGTCATTTCTTTCAGCCATTGCCATTATGTCTGATCTGCCATGTTGTTTCGATGCTCGTACAAAAGCTAGGGATTGCCATATTCAGCAGTCTTGCAAGAGCTACACGGGGGTCAACAGGCCGTCCGCCAGGCCCTGTGAAGTGATCTCAACTCTTTCCTATCATGACCCCGAGTGCATCCCTTTCTTCCATCGTCTACCCTCTTCTTGATGTTCTGGATTCAGTCAAGGAGCAGTGGTGCGCTTTTTAGGCAACATATCAGATCTTGACCCAGAGCTGCAGCATCGGATCAAAGTTCTACAAGACACGACACGGGACAACCGTGGACTGCAATTTTCCGTATCCCTGAACTACAGTGGCCGTCAGGACATAGTGCATGCATGCCAGCGAATAGCAGAGCGAGTGGCCGCTGGTGAGCTCCAACCCGCGCAGATTTCAGAGTCTCTAGTAAGCAAGGAGCTTTCAACGAGTTGGCTCGGACTGGACCTGGCTAACCCGGACCTGTTGATTCGGACGAGTGGGGAGCTGCGGCTGAGCAACTTTCTGCTGTGGCAGTCGGCTTACACGGAGCTGCACTTCTGTGACACTCTCTGGCCCGACTTTGGCGCGCCCCAACTGCATGCAGCTCTCCTTGAATACCAGCGACGAGACCGACGCTTTGGTAGGCGAAAGGAGTCTGGCTAAGGTAGCGTAATGAAGATTTGGGGAGAAGGTGTTTTGGTTGTTCCGTCATAAAATCTGGAATATAGGAGGGGGAAGGTGCACGTATTCCTGATTATCCATGCCTTACATGTACCCATGCTTGTAACCGAAGAGATCGTACTTTCTTGAAGTAAACATAACAATGGAGAAATGGAGTTCCCCTTTTGCATAACAATCAACATGAACACTGCATCTCTCTGCACCACTTTCGACCAATTCCATTGCAGCAGAACCTCAGAGGTATAAGTATTTTAGAATGGCCTCCCTTGATGGCCGCACCCATCGTGATCATTTTTTGTCCGGATGTAGAAACAGCTGGGGGTTTTGGTCATTACCTGGCCCGGGTACGGTAGAGCCATTCATTACACGTCATTGCAGGCTGCGCACAACCCAAGGTTCGATCGCCCTGGGAATTGGTGTTTTCCCTGATCGGACGTGGTTCTGTACGGTGATGTAGACATTAGGAGGGATGAGATTCGGTGGCAAGTCAATCGTGAAGTGTGGAACACCCTAGAAAAACCAAACCTTCGTCACGAAACCAAAGCCGCACTGTTGCAGTTGCCTGGCCAGCTGCTTCAGTTTGCTCTGAGCTTGCTCACAGGCGTCTGGCGTGTACCAAGGTGCTGTTCGCCAGCACCACTGACAAGTGAATGACGGGATAGCGACGGGATCAGGAAGGTCAGTCTCGCCTTCCTGATTCCGTCAGTTAGGGTTCGTTAACCTCCGTCAATCTGGTCAGCCCGTAAAAATGTTGCAGAGGCTCTCCTATCATCCAAACCAAAAACCGAAGTGGGGGTCTGGCGAACGCCCCCATTTATCGATCAAATCGAACTCCTCCACGGCATATGGAAGCGGGGACGCAACTTCGTCCCCAGGCAAAACTCCCTCCCCAGGCTAAGGGCGTGTGTCCTTCGGGTCGAACTTTGGCAAAAGTTCGACTGTTTCAAGAGGTTCTACACGTTATAATACTTTACAAACAGGTTCCCCACGTTTCAAAGTGGGAAAGTTCGAACTTTGACAATTTTGGACCGAAGGACACACGCCCTAACTATCGCCATCCCCCGTTTTTCAAAGGACAGCGATGGCACAGCCATTCCATTGCCGTTCAGAGGGGAACCTCTGAACGAGCCATTTGTTTGACAAATGGGGGTTCGTATACCCCTCATTTTTCCCCTCCCGAGCACACCTTCGATGTGCCCCCGCAGGGTTAGGTTTTTATTTGCGCTTTTTACCCAAGTCGAGCACTTTTTGGCCAGCGGGCAAGCTGTGGTCAGTGTAGCTAAACTTTCGCGCCATTGGGGGAAAGGTGGGGATGGAGGTTCCCGATGCGGTTGCGTAATTTCGATTTTCGGGCGCAGAAGTTTTTTGAGTGGTATTACGCCCAAACCTCGGAGGTGGCTTCCGCCTCCGTTTCCGGATGCGGTCGCGAGCCGACGCCATCTTTTTCATTCATTCACACAAAGGCGGTGTTCGCCAGCACCTTTGAGATTGGAAGAAAATGGAAGGCATTGGACTGGCAACGGCATCAGGAAGCGGGGTCGGAACCCTCCGAAAAGGTTTGGGCGAAATGCCACCCGCGAGCTTTCCAGCCCCGACATGAGAAACTTCACAACCGCATATGGAGCCTCACACCCCACCTTCCTCCGACAGCCAATTACATCGCCAATCCACGGCGGTCCACGTGAAATGGTGGGTTGCCACGGGATGGCATGAGACGGGACGTTTGCCTGGGGAGGAAGTCGCGTCCCCATTTCCGAATGCCATGTTTCCTTCCGAAAATTGAGAAAAATGAGAGCGTTCGCCAGCCACCGCAGATTGCTTTAGGCTCGGACGACATCCTAGCTTCGGCACGAATTTTACGGGCTGACCAGGCTGACGGAGCTTAACGAACCCTAACTGACGGGATCAGGAAGGCGTGACTGACCTTCCTGATCCCGTCGTTTTCGTTTTCAAAAGTGCTGGCGAGCACCGCCAAAATTTCGATTTGCTGGCGAACAGCACCGAAGTGAACGTCTGAGGGATGTCGATGAATGTCGACCCTCGGATCAACGGTTCCTGTCAAACATTATATATGTTATGCTTGTGTAGGCTACAGTGGGTTACCCTATAGGGGGTACACAATTCTAGGGTTTACTACTTGTACTCATTTCACTTCTAGTTCATTCATTCCTGTTCGCTTATTCTCACAGTTCCAACCGTCAGGATTCACCGACATTCCTCGACGTTGAGTTTTTGCAGTACTTTGTACACGCCATGAGAAGCAGGATGTGTCAAAGTTTGAAGAAAGAAAAAGGATTGAACTAGCAAGAATGAGGATACAAATAGCAAACCCTAGAAGGGTTGTACTCGCTATAGAGCACCCCACTACAGGCTAGAACAATAAGATAATATTCTGACACACCCCCATAGCCAAAGTGGGGTGTAATCAGCAGAGCAGGCAAAGCAAAACAAGCTCAGGGTGGATCACAATGTCACCACACATTCTGAGCACAAGTTCAAGAAGAAATAGTTTAGAGTTCACAATTATAAGCAAAGCTAGTGGTAGTCACAACGGGCAAGTGAGGAGGAGGAGGGAGAGTGAGGGGAGAGGAGACAGGAGGCGACGGCTGAAGCTGCAGACACACGGGCAACAGGAGGCAGACTGGCACAGCGGCTACCGGACAGCGCCCGGACTACAGGAGTAACAGGCCCCGCGGCTCAAATAGCGGCGGACGGGCAACGGACCCACGGGCGGCTGGCACAGCTGGCTACGACTGGGCTACCGGGACAGCGCCCCGGACTACAGGTGCTGTTGACGACAAACTGGCAACATCCGCTCATCCTCCCGCACACAGTCCCACCCCCCTGATACACACCCACTGCTACACCACTAGCTCTACTCCCACGCACCCCCCTAAAACCCTAAACCCAGTCTCCCACACAACCACCCCCCTCAGCGACAGCTGCAGCAGTGGGAGACGAAGGAGGAGGAGGAGCAAAGGGAGGAAAGTACACTGGCCACCCCCATACCTGCCACCCCACAGCGCGCCCGGCCCCCGAAGGAGCCGCGACGGGCGACGGGAATTGGGGGGGAGGGGAGAAAAAGGGGGGGGGGGGGGGGACGGGGCCGGGGCCGCGACGAGGGGCGGGGCCGCGACGGTCGGGGCGGGGCCGCGACATAGGGCGGGGCCGCGACGTAGGGCGGGGCCGCGACATAGGGCGGGGCCGCAACGTTGGGCGGGGCCGCGAAGGTAGGGCGGGGCCGAGCCGGGCAGGCGCACGGGCGGCGACGGGCCGGGGCGGGGCCGCGACGAAGGGCGGGGCCGAGCCGGGCAGGCGCACGGGCGGCGACGGGCCGGGGCGGGGCCGCGACGAAGGGCGGGGCCGAGCCGGGCAGGCGCACGGGCGGCGACGGGCCGGGGCGGGGCCGCGACGAAGGGCGGGGCCGAGCCGGGCAGGCGCACGGGCGGCGACGGGCCGGGGCGGGGCCGCGACGTAGAGCGGGGCCGCGTCAAGGGGCGGGGCCGCGACGTAGAGCGGGGCCGCGTCAAGGGGCGGGGCCGCGACGATCGGGGCGGGGCCGCGACGTAGTGGAGAAGCCCGCCGCGCGCCTCGGGGCGCACAGCGGGCAATGAACCGCCGCGCGCCTCGGGGCGCACGGCGGGCAGAAAACCGCCGCGCGCCTCGAGGCGCACGGCGGGAGGAAAAAGTAGCAGCGGAAGCGAGGTGGTAACCCACCCACAGGATCGATCCAAGGGGATCGACCTGCTCTGATAGCATGTCAAAGTTTGAAGAAAGAAAAAGGATTGAACTAGCAAGAATGAGGATACAAATAGCAAACCCTAGAAGGGTTGTACTCGCTATAGAGCACCCCACTACAGGCTAGAACAATAAGATAATATTCTGACAGGATGCTCCCAGCCCGCTTCGCCAGGAGCTGCCCCATTCGTATCCCAGCACGATCAGCCATCTCTTTTGGTCGGGCAGTCGCCGCCGTCACGACGCTCTTTACCATCAGTGACGGCCCTTTGTCCATGCACCCACGTGTCCCACAAGTCGCGTTGCTGCACCTTCACTCTGAACCCATTCAACCAAAAGAAATACATCAGGACCGGGACCAGTATAAAGAAATAGTAATCAAGAGTCGTCTGACCCGCCGTGCTCTTGGTCTGGACGTATGGCTCCTCTCTCCGCCTCCCCAGCTGCAATTCCCGTGTCGTCTGACTGTCCACCCTTGTCCACAACTAGACCTCCTCAAGCTGACGGCGCCGCGTCAGAACCTATTCTTAGCATCAACGACGGATTAGTCCAGAGGGGGTTGTCTTTACCCAAAAACGCTCCCACGTTTTCCGCAATGCCGTATCTCTCCCCGCGTCGATCCGCTGCTTCCGCCGGAGACTCCGCCGTCTCTATGAAACCGTCTCTCCCCTCTACCGACGCTTCCCTCTCGGAATCGTCGTGGAGCGACAGCATGGCACTTGGAGAGATAGACTACTCTCAACTGCCGTCGGATTTGGACCCGAGCCGGCTGCCGAGACACGTGGCAATCATCCTGGATGGGAACTCGCGGTGGGCGACGCGCAAGGGGGTGCCTAAGATGCTGGGGCACGATGCGGGGGGTAAATCTCTCAGAGAGACGGTGCGGCTGTCATCGCAACTCTGCAGGGCCCTGATCGGTAGCCCTAATTCCGAGTAAGCTTTGGTCACGTTGGCATGCTCGGGGGGTACACCGACTCACACGTGCGTGCACGTGTCGGTGGGTGCTTCCCATCTCCGAGTGTTACTTTCCCAACTCCGGTTAGTGATCGGCTCGCCCGCGTTACTCCGAGTTAGGAAGTTGCGAGGGTGGGGGGTGCGATTTCGTGTGTCTCACTGTAGCGTTCAGCCCAGACTGCCCCATACGCCACCAAACAAATAATATTTCAGCGCTGGGAATACCGTGGCCCAAAAATCTCATCTTCAAACACCACTTGTTCAAACACCTCCAACGCTCAATTCTTTCT